AGGTACAAATGTTAAGTTTATGAGACTAATTCTAATCCTATTTCTTTCTTTCTTTCTTTCTCCACAAATAAATATATTTTTAGAATAATTTTTATTATTAATTAACAGTATTTATAAAAATACAATACAATAAACTTTTTAATTTAATGCAGATTGAATCGGCGAATAACTAAAGTATACCATATTTTATTTTAATTATTTTACTTATGTATCATACGATCCATATGTTCAACCCATAGGGGTTCCCACTCTTCCAGATAATTGATCCTATCATGAATGGGCGCTAACTGAACCACATTGATCATTTTGGACAGGTCAACCCTGAGTTGAGCTAGTTCAATTCGACTGTTTTTCAAGTCTTTCATTTCGGGCGAGTCCTTCAAAATAGTGGTCTCGAAGTGCTTCACATCGACCCTCACTTTGTCGTCGAGTGCGTCAAACCGTGCGTACAGTTGTGTTCTCTGGCGCTCAAACTCGGCGTCCAGTACTCGTCCAGCGCTCACTGGTTTATGACAATAATACCCATAATTGTAGTTTAAATTATGATTATTTTATTTTTTTTTATTTAACAATATTGATCTGTAAACTTACCAAGCGCAATGGCTAACAAAATAAATAACAAATATTTCATTGTAGTTAATGTTGAATAATAAGTAATATGATATATTTAATAGTTATTAGTAGTGTTCACGGAAATTTGGTTTTATTATTTTCTTAAATTTCGTGTGTTTTATTTGGTTTTATTATTTATAAGAAAAATTTGGTGTTATTTGTTGTTTCATCAGTAATTTTTTAAAAATTTGGTTTTATTTGGTTTTATTCCAGATCAGTTAATAAAGCATAAAACCCTTTGTGCGCTCTCATTGCCAATTAAATCAATAATGTTAAGTTTTAATCCATTCATTCGGAGTATTTTATCTTTTTGGCATGTTATTTACCAAAACTATGCACAAATTATAAAACCATTTAAAAACATTCACAAAACATGTGATATTTGGCCAAATTATACACATTAATAACAACAAAAATTTGGTTTTATTTGGTTTTATTAATAAAACCAAATTTCATTATTTTTAAATTTCGTGTGTTTTATTTGGGTTTATTGGTTTAACCAAATAACTGTGAACACTAGTTATTAGTTAATTAAGTTATATTTGTTATTCATGTCGTTTATATATGTTTTTGCTATTTTTTAATCTGGGTTTAATATTAATCAGTATGGTAATTATAATATTAATAAATTATGATTAATCAAACAATCCATAGTAGTCAATAACATTTGGACTACCTTGATAACAATGAAAGTCATGCAATAAAAGTACATAGTTTAAAGCGCAACAAAGCTTAATACTGAACAATTCTTACCAATATTTTATACAATGAGTAAAGGTGTTATCAAGGTATCAAGGTACAGAATGTTAAGTTTATGAGACTAATTCTAATCCTATGGTAACATTGCCAAGTCTATAGCAAGTCTATTGTTCCATATTAAATTTATGGTCAATGCTAATTTATTCTTTTGAACAATACCCAAATTGTGGATAACGTATTGCATCTCTCTTGGCTTTCAGTCGCTCCAACTCCGGGTCAAATGGTTTAGCGCTCACTGTTTTATGGGTTACATAATGTGTTAATTGCAAACATAATATAATTTAAAGTATTAGGGTTCTTTTTATTTTTAAAAACA